ATAACATATAATCCTTTGTTAGCCAAGACTGAAAAACACATAGACCCATACTCCTTTGGGTACCAGGGATATAAAGCACTTCAAGGGTAACTAGCCCCCAATTTCAAGGATATCATCAGTGACAACATTTAAGAGTCAGATGCTTCAGCAGTACATTTTGCTGACCATGTGCCTGGTGCTGGCAAAGCTGTCAAAAGCAACAGTTAGCAGTGTTGGGCTGGTGTTTTAATGTTTCCCAAACAAAAGCTGTCTCAATCACAAGTTTTAGACGGACAACTATAGTTCTTAAGGATTTTAACTGCCTCCCTCCCCCCCACAGCCTCATTATAGCAAGATAGCTCATTGGTATAAACAGGTTAGAACTCTAATCTCCAGGCTGTTTCTGGTACCAGGGGCCACATGGACCGCAGTCTGATGAGGGCTTTCTCTCAGGATCTCTAAAATGCAACCTCCTTTATGTTGTTCCAGACCTGTCTAAATATCCATCCCCTAAGGACTAAGCTTTCAAAGCATTGCAAGGGGAAGGAGTTTAATACTCATCAATAGCATTGCTAATAACAATTCTGCCTTATATTTATGAAACAGCCATCCATGGGAACCTATCAACATTCAATATAAACTATTCCTCTAATGTCTTTGTGGGGAAGTCAATTATTTTAGGGCAACCAGACTACTCCCAGCTCTCAATGATCTGTTCAGAAAAATGAAAGGCAATGAGAAAAATTCAAAACAGGAAATAAGCCTAAAGTAATTCCCATCTGATTTTGAGATGTGCTCACTCTACTTGTGAGTTGTTAGGATGGGGGAAAGAAGCATATAAGAGAGGAGGGGGAGCAAATTTGCCTAACAGTTAAGCTTTTATGTAAATTCAAATTAGCTTATGTCTACTGAACACATGTCACCTGACAACAGTGGGGGTGGGGAGTCTGGATTCACACGTGACAATCTTCCACAAAGATTGAGAACTGACTAGAAACAGATGACCTCTTTTCTCCTAAAATATGAGTGGGGATGCAGGCTTGTAAGTTTTCTTTACCCTCTTAGGATTTTCTGAGGAGTGTATATTACACACATTTAAAATTGATCTTTTTTTTTTTTAGAGACAGTCTCACTTTGTCGCCCACGGTAGAGTGCCGTAGCATCACAGCTCACAGCAACCTCCAGCTCTGGGGCTTAGGCGATTTTATTGCCTCAGCCTCTCCAAGGGGCTGGGACTACAGGCACCCGCCACAATGCCCAGCTATTTTTTGCTGCAGTTTGGCCATGGCCGGGTTCGAACCTACCACCCTTGGTATATGGGGCCAGCATCCTACTCACTGAGCCACAGGCGCCACCCTAAAACTGATCTTTCTACAGGAATAATGGTCAGGCACATAGTTTTAGACAAGGGTAGGGAAACTTCAAAGCGACATATAATACATATTTTAGGCTTTGTGGGCCGCACAGTCTCCCTCACAACTACTCAATCGGCCACTGACAGCATAAAAGCAGCCATGGAGTGTGGCTATGTTCCAATAAAACTTTATTTACATAAAAAGGCAGAAAGTGAGATACAAACTATCAGCCATATTGCTAACCCTTGGTTTAAGAAGGTTCTGGTGGACACAGAAGGTTCCGAGGCAGCACTGGCTTCCCTGGCATCCAGTTGGCCCCCATGGGAGCTGGTCCACTGGAGAAATAAATTGCAAAGCTTGATTAAACATTGTCTTCATTCTAAAGATATGGAGACAGAGACACCAAACAGGATGGGTGAGACTGGAACCCAGAACAATTCATTTCCTAGTCCTAGTATGTCCTGGAAGAACATAAAAGTTAACAGGCTCTTCTATCCACTAGGGGCTCTGAGCTTCCTTAGAGCTGACCTTCATATTTCTCTCTATTCTCTTCAGCCTTCCTCTTTCCTAGCCCACACTCATAAATATGAAGCCAGTCCTCACTTTATGAAGCTATCCCTTATACACTGAATGGTTGCAGATGATTCCCGCTCTTTATACCATAACCCTTTTTACAAGGTCTAATATATCTTGTGAAGAACACAGCAGGGTGTGTGGTGGGTAGATAACTCACAGCTCTGTATGTTACATCACTTTGAGATGGGCACGAGAAACAATGACGACACTTAATTGTTCCTGAAACCCAGTCCCAGCTCACACACCTTTTAAAAACAGCTGGGCTTCAGAGCCCTGTTTAGAAAGCTCATTTTAAAAGATGAGGGAATAAAAATGCAAAAGGAGGCCCTGAAATTCTGAAACCTGCAGTACTGGTTTCAGATCAATCTGGGTTTGTTCTTTGAAGCCTGAAAAGGCAATGGGCTCTGGCCAACAGTGCTCTCACCTTGGCTAGGTAGAAGGAATAATAACAATATAAGTAGCAGCAAACACTTTTATAGCACCTTCTATGTGCCAGGCACTGTTTTAAGCACTTTATTAACTCACTTGATTCCTATAATGTACATATTCTTATTTTTATTTAGTTATTTGAGATAGTCTCGCTATGTGGCCCTTAGTAGAGTGCCATAACATCACAGCTCACAGCAACCTCAAACTCTTGGGCTTAAGTGATTCCCTTGCTTCAGCCTCCCAAGTAACTGGGACTACAGGTGCCCACCACAACGCCTGACTATTTTTTGGTTGGAGTTGTCAGTGTTGTTTAGCAGGCCCAAGCTGGACTCAAATCGGCCACCCTTGGTGTATGTGGCTGGCGCCCTACTCACTTCGCTATGGGCACTGAGCCATATAATGTACATATTTTTACCCACAGATGAGGAAAATGGGACACAGAGGTTAACTTCCTCAAAGCCTTATAGCTGTTAAAAGCAGAAACCTGAATTTAAAACCCAGGCATTCTCACTCCCAATACCATTATCTTAAGTATTCTTGACTGCAAGGGGTTTCCCTTTACCTCATATATCCTATTGGCCTAGGGAAAACCACCCTGCTGCTTCCCAAAGGCTAATGAATGGAAATAATGTGAACACACGTACACTGAAATTAACATGCAAAAGATGTGATGTGCCCCAAACCAAAGGCCAGATATATTCCCCTAACATTTGGCCGCAAAGAAGACTACACGCTCAGGCAACTCTTTCCATCCATTTTTCTTCTCTCCTGCTTTACTGAAAAGCTACATATAATTCCAGTACTCACTAGACAAATACTATATTAACACCTCTGGCATATTAATAGGTGGAGAAATGATCAATCAGCTCACTCCATAAGCAATAATCCACCCAACTTGCCCTAAATCACCTGACATGTTATACAGTTGTCTTGCTTTCTTCATGTTTACCAGTATTTTAGGGCCTCTGGCCTAACAAAAGGAGCAGGTCACATTCCTCATTTTTATAGCAAACTGCTCTTAAAATATGATTGCTAACCAATTTCTTGCTTCTACACAGGCAGGTTTTCTATTGATTTCTACTAAAGGTTACTAAAGTTAACTAAAGTTCTGGTGCCTGTTGTTCTGCTAACTTCCCTGGGTTCCAAGGGAGCCCAAACAAAACGAACAGGTTTGCAGTCTTGTGGTTTGCTTTATGTTCATCAAAGGCATGAGTTTATCTGAGCATTACCTTACTCTATACCACTGGATTCTACGCATACTTTTACTACTTGGTCACCATCTTGCTACCAGATTTGACCAAGTAACTGTGTTCCAAGATGTGTGGCTAACCTACTGTGAGGTGGTCCAGGTAGACTTGGGGGTTTTCTTCCTCAGAGACCCTCTTAATCTCATTCCTACCTAGCAAGAACCTATAGTAGCACTGTAGCAACAAGAGGGGGCTGTGCAGCAACTAAGTTTAGTAATTACCAAAGTTCAGGAGACTCCAGTTTAGAGAATGTCATTAGCCAGTAAGATGGCAAGGACCATGACTTTTGTACATTTGGTAGAGACCCAGGCTTTGGAAGTGTGCAATGATCTTTTCACATCTGGTGTGAATCAAATGCAAGCCTCACTTTCAACTTATTGCCAACCTCCTCATGGAAGTAGGTTCTTTTTCCCATTCCTAAGTGCTCGCATTTGTGAGATCCATCACAGCTTTGAGTGTGAAAGAAAGGTTAGGCTTGCTCCTCCCTACTTTCCCCACACCCACCACATCAAGCTGTTATTAAGAAACCGTTCTAGTGCCGTTCAGAGTGTGGGGTGTTTGCCACTGTGTACTTGATTGTAGTCCTCACCCCCATTGCCACGTTGGCTGGTAATGCCCAGGACAAAACAGCTTTGGTTAGGGAAGGAGGGAAAGGCAGTGAGCAAACTGCCCAGGTCCTATACACACACGCAATGGTTGGAATGAGACAGCCATGTTAAGCAGGTCAATGATCTGGGAACATACAACTTCTGGGCAAGGAGAAGAATGCAGGGAATCGGGAGCGTAGCCTTTGCACTGTGGTAAAAGCCGTTAAACTAACTTACTTCAACGGGCTGAGATGAAATCAGCTTCAGGAGATGGCATAAAGGGAAGCGCACGTGAAAGTGGTGGAGAATGGAACTCCAGCGCTGCAGAGAGGGATGCTGGGGCCAAACTCGAGCAGGAGAAGTAACACATGGCTCCACGGGGCTCTCCTCCATGCCCCTCCCCCTCCCCGTGCAAGCGTCCAGAGCCCACCGGCTCCTCACTCCCAACGCCAGCCCACTGCACCGGGCGCCCCCACCCCGCGCCACTCCTCCTCACACCTCGCTCCCACCCCTCCATGTTCCACTCACCCCCACACGACACCCCTGCCTACTTTTCGGTTACGCCCCCAAAGCCACCCTCCATCTGCCAGGTCCCTCCCCTCACCTCCGGGCCGCGACTCTCTGCACATTCCGTCCCAGCGGTGCACCCCACGTTCACAGCTCCCAGTCTCGTTCCTTCAGCCCTCGCGGACTTTGAGAGCCCCAGTTTCTCTTCCCTCGACCGCATCCACTTTCTCCTCACACTTTTTCCAGTACCCCTCCCCCCGTCACGCGCCCTCCCTCCCCCAACGGCTCCTCCCCCGGCACCCGCTCCAGGCCCGGCTCACCTGCGCGGCCACCCCCGTCCCGGCGCTGGTGCGGCTGCTGCAGCTGGAAGGGGACCGTCGCCCTGAGCGGCTGCAGCCCAGCCCGAGGGGAGCCGGCCGGGGCTGGAGGAGAGCAGCCCCGCCGGAGCCCCCCGGCTCCTCCGCGCCCTGGACCCCAGGCACCTCCGCCTCTGCCGCCCGCTGCGGCCCCCGCCATCGCGCGCCCGATTGCCTGTCTCGGCCCCACAGCGAGCCCCACACAGCCCCCCAACCCCCGCTGCCGCTGCTTATCTGCCCTATGGGGCGGGTACCGGCCGCCTCAGCCCAGAGCTGTTATTGGCCTACAGAGACCCAGACCTCCCCTTCCAACCAATCTGCGGCTATCTCTTCCCTTCTCCTAGGATGATTGGTCAATAAGCCTAGCGATCCACACCAAGACCCCACCCTCATAACGCCCCCTTCAGCTTCCCAGTGTCCCAAGGGCCGCTGATTGGCTCGCCCGGAAGAGGGCTGGTTCTCTAGCACCACCAATGACAAGACGTAGAAAAGGGGAGCGTCACACCCAGTCTCAGGTAGTATGCAAATATGATGTCACGTGACGTCAAGCTGAGGGGGCGGGGCTGGGTGTAGGTTGGAATCAAACATTAGTGAAATCATTATGGGGGGCGGGGGTAGGGAGGATTGTCAAACTTTAAGAAGTCAAATCCCGGCAGTTTGGAGAGAGGGATAACTTCAAAGAGCATTACATTTAGTTTAACCTAAAAACATTAGTTTTACGTCCTCACAGGATTTCAGTGCTGCTTGCAAGCTCCAAACGAAAATCCTACTAAATAATGCAAGGTTTGCATGTCATTTGCATGCAATTTGCATTATATTTGTGCACTTAATGGCTATGTTGCCTCATGTGATATCCCCATTTGTCTTTCTCCACGTTTCCAAGTTCCTATTTGGTGTTGATCCAACCTTAACAAACAGCTGCTAGCCTGTAAATTAAATTGGGACTCTGAAAAGGAGCAGGGAATTTCCCTTCATGGTCGTCCCTTCGAAGCCTAGCTCAGCAGAGTGGAAGGAACAAAGTGACTGAGAAACTTGCCCAAGTTTGCACGGTGACTCCATTAGAGAATCCTGGTCTTCCCAATTCAATGCTCTCTGACCTACAAGTCAATGAGACTGGATGGTTCCCAAAGAGAATGCATGCAGTTGTGAAAATCACATGCTATAATACAAATGAAGGCATTTGGAAAACACAACAGCATTTAAGGTACTACTAAAAACTATTATTCTTCAAAAGAAACAAAAACCCTTTGGTATTTGTCAACCATTTTGTTCTATATATGGAAAAAGCTAAAGTCAATCAACCCTGGATTGTCTGTGATAAGGGAACATCCAAATAATTAGATAATTCCCTCCAGATTTATATTTAGCTATGAATTCTATTTTTGATCTTGCTACAGATTTATCTTTCTATTTCTGTTTTTGCCCAGTTTAATGTTAAAAGGAAGCTATTCCCTGAAGCCATACTAACTAATCAGAGAAAAAGAGGCAATCTGGAAGCATGCTGCAAGGCAAGAAGAGGTCATTCTGGGATTAAATATTGTAAGGAGATAATACCCAATGTAGAAATTCTAGAGTTGGTTGAATATTAAAATTAGCCTACATACACTGGATGAATGGAAGCAATAGAACACACTAAAGAAAGGTTTTCTTTGCAAAGAGAGTACTCTTGTGGGTTTGAAGGATTTACTTCAAGAACTGACATTTGAACCTTTTTACTGACTAAAGAAATGCTGTACTTCTTTTCCATGAAGAGAACACCTAATTAAAGGTAAGGAGGAATGAACAAAAACTCAGTCTTTATAAATTCAAATTCATTGAAAAGAAATCTTGCATTAATATTGTTCCTCAATTTCAACTAGTTCAGTCTTCATATACTTTTAAAAAATGCTTATGACAATCTGGAAAAGGAAAAACATGGATTCTTACTGTGGTGCAGGTAGGGAAACTGAGGTCCAGAGAGTGAATCCTTTGATTCCTAGCTCAGATCCCTAACACATCATATTGCCTCATATCTTCAATAACAAAATCAGTAATGGTAGCAACTAACATTCTTGAATTACTTTTTTCATGTCAAGTACATGCAAAGCACAGTACATAGATTATCTCATTTAATGTTCAAGATCACACTTGTGAAACGGGTGTTATCTCCTCTTCATTGAGGCTTCAGAGAGAAGTACTGTAACTTGCCCAAGGTTACTCAGGCAGCCTGATTCCAGAGCTGAGCTCCTAATCTCTATGTTTGTAAAACTTTCTTAAAGAACACAGAAGGATTACTATTTGTATCTTTCATAGAGACTCTCCAAAGATGCAAATCTGACCAAAATATTAAAATCAACATTTGTTTAGTGCTTTATAGCTTTCATGTATATTATGTCATTTAATTCTCACAATACACAGGTAAGGTAGAAAATACAGATATTATTGCCCTCATTTTTCAGGAAGTCAAGTCACAGAGGCCAAATGACTTGCCCAAGAGCATCCAGTTAGTAAATCACAGACCCAGGACTTACATTCCAGGTTTTCTGACTCCAGATTCAACTTTCTCATCCAACATTCAAATTCTATGTAGACCATTACCCCCACTTGACAGCAAAAGCATAAGCTAGCTGGCCTTTTGAAATATGATCTTGCTTGAAAATTTATACTACTTTAGGACTCCTCCACATGTAAATTCTTAGTCTTAGGAGATGAGTAGCTTTTCTTGGTGAGTGATATAATGTGTGTTAGAGGTAAAGCCCAGGGATGAACAATTTTGAAACACTTTGAACAAGTGGCTTCCTCTCAGTGTCAGAATCATCCTGTTCCATCAACCTCACAAACTTGTTTGAAATTAAAAGGGAATATTGTACAGATGCGTTCTCCCCTCAGAGAGGGGAAAGTAATGTGCATAGTCCCAAAAAACATGACGTTTAAACTTTATTCCAAAGCCAAGGTACCAGAAACTGAGGACCTGGACAGTAGAAAAAAGGCCAGTGGAGGCGGCACAGCTGAAGAAATGGATCTTCGGAGTCCAGAAAGTTGTGGTCTTTCCTGATAAGTTGCTGGCAAAAGACACTAAAGTTGATCCTAGCAGGAGGAGTGAGAAGGCAGGAGAACTGGGTCCTCTCCTTACTAGGTATCATGCTCCACCAGCTGTCTCTTATTCCCTTCTCTATCACTGATAGCTTCTCCTGGCATGGACATGATGGGAGGATAAGGACTTCATCTGAAGATCATCCCCTGTCTGTTTTCTCCAATGAAGAAAGTCATGGCTTTGAGGAGGATATGTGCTGCTAACGGAGATGGCTTGCATCAGAAAACACCTTCTAGATTATGTGAAAAACTTTGCCACCGTCCCCACTGTCATCCTTATCAACATCATTGCCATTAATTAATTCTCCCAATCCATATGTATTAAAATGATTATGTGCCAGACATTGAGCTAGGCACTAAGGAATGACAATAATGTTCAGAGACATGGTTTCTACCTTGAAGTTCATACCCCTGCAGACCTTGAAGCATGTATGGGGAAGTAGCACTAGGTTTGATGTTATTCTGATTGAGAACTATGACCTGGTTCCTGCTTTCAGGGACTCTGGGATGGAGGAAGGCACTCGAAGACATAAAAAGTGGAGGATTACATATGCCCAGTATGTTAATAGTTTCTCACCTAGAGAATTATTATTTGCCTCATGGGGTTCCAACAGCAAATGCTTAGATTTTTGATTAGCATGCCTTTAGGATGCCCACATCTGTCACAAATAAATGAGGACTCAAGAAATTGACGTTATTTTTTCAACAGGATTTAGTCAGAGGTATGATCATTCCCCAAGCAGTCCCTTATAGGCTTCAGGTCTTAAAAGTTGCAGGAGTTTGAGACACTATGAAAGACAAAAGGCTGTCAGAGGGTCAGCAGGGAAGCCTTATCCTGGAGGCTTCAAGAGAAGGCTGGGGTTGGCACAGCCAAGAGGAACTTTCCAGTTCTGAAGGCACTCTCTGGCCCTACATCCAGGGCATTGTGAATTCCACCCTGTGCATTCATTTCTGTCACAATAACCAACAAGAATGGGAATTTCACATCACCGTTTTTACCCTCCAAAATATAACACCTGCCTCACACCTATAATCCCACCAACTCAGGAGGCTAAGGTGAGATGATCACTTGAGGCCAGGGGAGTTGGAGACCAGTGACCAGGCTGGGCTAAACAGCAAGACTTGGTTTCTAAAAAATAAAATAAAATATTTTTTTAATTAGCCAGCATGGTGGTGCACACCTATAGTCATAGCTACTCAGGAGGCTGAGGCAGGAGGATCACTTGAGTCCAGGAGTTTGAGGCTGCGGTGAGCTATGATCACATCACTGCACTCCAGCCTGTGTGACAGAGCGAGACCCCATTTCTAAAACAAAAACAAAACAAAATATGATACCCGGTAGCAATTATTCAGCACAGACTAGAGGTCTCCATATTCCTTGGTACCTGGAGGACTATCTCTGAACTTCTTGGCAAATTTTAAGTGCTCGCATCTTTGCCCCCACACCCCCTGGCAAGTTCCAAAATAATAAAGCAGAAAATAAGATGACGCAGATACACAGTGTTTCTTTCTGACCTACCTCCTTTACTCAGCCTCTGTCTGAAATGTCAGGCCTGGCTCCTCAGGGAACAAGATCCTGAGGAAATGGGGTCAGAGCTGAAGGAGCAAAGCGGCCTGAGAGGGATTAGGAAGGAAGGTGGAGGAAATGAATGAGGTTACGGGAACAGAGTAGGGAGGGGGGTCCTATCCCTCAGCACCTCTTCCCACTCTGGTGTCTCTGTCTCCCCATATCCCTTCCCTCTTACTCCCAGGGTAACCGGATGGCCTGGATTTTGACCTTCAGTGCTTTTGCTGACACATTTTGTCCCTTACTATGGCCCACCACCTTCCATCTTCTTAGTTGTCTCATTTGTTCTTTCTCCTCCATTCAGACTGAAAGACATTCACCCCTTTACACTTCTTCCATGCTCAGTAGGAGTCTAATTTCCTTACTAAACCATAGCCTTTTAAAAATGAAGATTCTTCCACCTCAAAAATAAAGCTTATGGTGGAAGTTTCCAAACAGGTAAAAGGGTAAATGTGGAATCAGAGACATTAAAATTCTAGAATATTGGACCTACTGGCACTCCATGGAAAATACAAAGTAGACTAAAAAAAAAATTAGAAGACACATTGGAGGCTATATATGATTT